ATATTTTATCATATTTTATTATATTTATCTTAATTTTAATTTTTAAATAACTTATTTTTGGTTTATTTTTTGTTTTTGATTTTTGAGAGATTCAACCGAAACCAAACCGAAATCTATTCGGTTAACATTAAAACCAAAAAAATAAAACCAAAAACCATTGAAACCAAATCAAATTCATTTTTTTGGTTCGATTTTCGAGTAAACAATCGGTTCGGTTAGAAAATACCCAGCCCTATTAATATCTATTTAAATACTTATCAAGAAGTTGACTTGATAATTATATGATGCACTCCACCTTACTTTTTAAATAGAAAAATGTGATCACTTAGATCATACTCACATTTTTCTTTTTCTTTAACAGGAAGAATTTTATGGAAAAGAAGAAATATTACAACGAAAATTTGTCTTACAATTTATTTTATGATGAATTATAAGATTAGTATCATTAAAAAAAAATTTCTTGATATTAAATCTTTTTTTTTTAATAAACTTGATTTTACCATCCATTACGAGATGGATTATAAAACAGTACATCCATATTTCAGTGGTCTCAATAAATATAAATCAAAGTATTAACTACATGATGTCAGTCAAAGCTGGCTGCTAGTGCAATATCATGGACTCATGGGTAATAAGTTTTAAAGGAAAAGTCAGGCTTCTCCGGCAAGGTGCTACGTGTAATAGTTTCATTGGATGGCTACGGATAATTAACGGTAAATTTGGAATTTGATTGTCCTTCATTTGGGTTCTTTCTGACCATTGACTTGTGCAGTGGATGCTCTTTTTCTAAAAAAAGGTGAAACCCAGCTGTTTTTTTCTCAACAAAAAGTAAGATAATATGAGCAACTGGACTAAACAGTAAACACATAAAATGGTCAAAAGTATATTAATTTATACGCTCCACAATTTTTATGGATGATAATTCTTGATACGAAATTACCCATCAAAGTGATGCTTTTAAAACTAGAGAATCTAGTGCGCATGGCTGAAAATTTCTGTTTATAAGAGAGAGCTGCAATCTTCAATAATTCATCCTGGAGAATGCCATAGATTTTTCTATACTCCAGATAATTAACAGTGCATTCGGAATCTGGTTCTTCTTCATCTGGGTTCTTGCTTGACTAAACACACAAAATGGTCAAAAGTATATTAATTTATACACCCTACAATTTTCATGATGATTCTTGCTACGAAACTACCCATCAAAGTTGTTTTTGATTTTAGCATGTGAAAGTGATGCTTTTAAAACTAGAGAATCTAGTGCGCATGGCTGAAAATTTCTGTTTATAAGAGAGAGCTGCAAACTGCAATCTTCAAGCTCACCATCCACCAAGGTACTCATACTCTTATATTTACCATCAACATCTCTCGATTTTTAACTGAGAGATTTACATTCCAAAAGTCTTTGAATTTTGATAGGGAATTACATGGGAACTTATACCACATGGATGTGCTTCACTCAAAAATATTTTGGGATCACAGAAGCAGGGCCGCCACAGGATGTGAAGGAGGTGTTCAAGAAGTATGCGGACAGCGGGAGCTACATGACAGTAGAGCAACTGAGGCGGTTCCTGGTAGAGGTTCAAGGAGATTATGATGCATCCGTAGCAGATGCAGAGTGGATTGTGGAAGAAGTGCTTCAGAGGAGGCATTTGAAGCTCACAAAGCAGAGGAATCTCACACTAGAAGATTTTCACTATTACTTGTTCTCTGTGGACCTCAAC